CTGCGAATGTGATGGGCTACTCTATCTCTGGAATGCCACCTCCTTCAAGTGGAACGCTTGGGCTATCTCTGGTGGGCATCTTTTTCCCTTGTATATCTTTTTCACGATTATACCATATTTATACTGTCAGTTCATACTATAAAACTGGATGATTATTGTTGTTTTGCTGACATTACCTCTCTCTATTCTAATGCAAGATTAGGAAATCTTGATGAAATAAATCTTGGATTGCATTCTATTAATTATGGTGGAACCATGTCAGTTCATTTATCTAACATGGATGTGCTTCGAACAGGTAGTAAACATTTTGGATAGCTACGAAAGTTTCTATGCTGCCAATAAAAGTCTTGGCCTACATCGCTTGATAGAAGCAATGAAACACATGTTTGCTGCTCGGATGAATCTAGGTGACCCTGATTTCGTGGACATAGACAAGTATATGCGCAAAATGCTATCCCCAGGTTTTGCCAAGAAACTTCAGCAAAAGATATTTGATGACACTACTTTTCCTCCAGACTACTATCTTCCCAGGTATAATATGCTCCTTCACTTCATCTACCTTTGTGCTCAATAGAATTTATATTCTTGTTTATGGGAAGAATGAGAACAAACATACCAGGTTTTTGTTATCACCAGATGGAGCCAGCTTAGAGACCATGGAACCAGTCATTTGTGTGTTGTAGACTCAGATCGTAATGCTGTATCGATAACATCAACTGTAAATTTTGTCTTTGGAGCTGGGGTACTCTCTCCTTCCACTGGTATTGTGCTCAACAATGAGATGGGGGACTTCTCAATACCCACAGAGAAATCAACTGATATGCTCCCTCCAGCTCCAGCCAATTTTATCAGGCCAAACAAGAGACCATTATCCTCCATGACTCCTCTTGTAATCACCAAGGTATAGTAATCACATGCTTCTACTTCTTCCCTTTTAGTGCCAGGTGCTGGAAGGTTCAATTGCTTACTTCATTATGATTACCTGGCAGAATGATCAATTGGTTGGAGTTATTGGCGGCAGTGGAGGAATGAACATTATTCCTGCAGTAATCCAAGTCTTTCTTAACCATTTCATTCTGGGGATGAAGCCTCTAGCCGCGGTTCAGCATCCTAGAGTTTACCACCAGGTTATTGACCTGCTTTTAGCAAGCAGACGCATGCATACAACCAATTGCTAAAAAGGGAATTTCGCTAATATGATGTTTTACGTATTATGCAGCTAATTCCAAATGTCGTCTTGTACGAGAACTGGACTGTGATTGATGGTGATCATATTGAGCTTGACAACAAGACAAAGATATTCTTGAAAGCTAGACACCATAAACTTGAAGCCAGGGCAGCAGGAGCCATTGTTCAACTGATTGTTCAAGATCTCCTAAAACCAGTTACTAATATGAGTCGTAGGATTGGAAAAGAGTCTAATAATGCTCAGGTTCTGCATGGAACCCTCACTGGAGTTAGTGACCCCAGAAAAGATGGGAAGCCTGCAGCTGTTTGATATGGGAGGCAGTGGTTTAGGAATTTGAGGCAGTGGTCTGCAAAGACACTGTGATTTATGATGTTTTTCCAAATAAATGAGTGAAATTGAAATGGTACCCCATTTCTTTATATAAAAATATCTCCTGTTCATTACTCATTATTCATGCCTCTGTTAAATAAATATTATTATACAAAATACACAAGGACAGAAGCATAACGGGGAAAGTAAAATAACTGCATGCGGTTTCCGAAGAAATCCGCTAAGCATCACTTCAAAATTTCCCAGCTGTTAGAAACTCAAAGTTATAATATATAAAGGGTGTGGAATATTGGTTAAAACGATTTAACCCAACCAATTTTTTAAATCAATTAATTTGTAGTATTTTTTCAGCTCCAAGGGATTTAATTAATCAGTTTTTACTCTTCTTTGTTTGGAATTTTCACAACTGAAACTGACCAAAATTTGAAGATTTAACTTCTTAAAATTTTAATATTATATTATATAACTTTAAAGATAATTATATATCTCTTTTGGTTGGAATTTTCATGACAACTTATGTTACTGAGGCTTTTGGCATCGTTAATCTGGCCCCCCCTTTAGGCGTGCAGGCGAAGTGCATTTTGACAACCATTCATTTTCAATGAAGGAAAAATATAACAGCCACATTTAGCTTCGCCATGGATATATACATATCTATATATATATATATATGTATATATATATATGATATTTGAGCTACTATGACCAATGCTCATCAGCTTCTATAACCAAAAACATGGGAGAGAGAGCGGTAAATCCCCATAGGGATATGACAATTCTAGTCTTTGTGAGGGAAGAATATTATGCCGCATTAAGCTGAAGGCATTATTGTAAAGGTAAGGAAATCAACTACATGTATCTTCATTTAACATTATCAACGATCAAAGAAGGTGAAATCTCTGTTCGATTTCTAATCAGGTTTATAATAAAGATCACGGTACAAATAGACAAGTAATGAGGGGGAAGAGGCTCACACAAAAGTAAGAAAATCCCATCAAATTTCTTCATGAGGTTTTGTCCATTAACTGTATAGGGGCCAGAATGTTAGACTTGCTTGTTTCAACGATACACCCATTCATGACCATTTCCTCCAACATGAAGTGTGCTTTCTCTAAATGAAACATAATATCAAGTTCACACTGCATAATTAAAAGTACAAAAGAAAATCAATCAACTTCTTTCTATTGTATTATACAGATAAGGAAAAACAATATAGACAAACCAGATATCTGAAACAATGGATTAATTTCTTTTTTTCAATATTTCCGTGGGGGTGCTTACCACATTGCCAAAATGCCGATCCATGGTCTCAACTAACAGGTGTATGAACTCCAAAATGGCAAGTTCATTCTACAAGAGAAAAAATAAATAAAAATTGTTGAGATGGAAACAATTTGAGACCAGTGAACTTAAAACATCCTGTGGAGTTTCATCAAGATTGGACAAGTCACAAGGATTCTAAGTGGGCTCATCATGCAAACCAAATCATCCATATTGAAGAATTGAATACAACCTACGGCCCACATATCAAAGAATTGAATACAACTAATCCATGTCATGCACAATGTATATTACAAGCCCGTATCATCAAAATAATATCAAGGATATTCTCATAGGATAGATACTAGTCACTACCAATCATGGCTCTTTCATTTACAGCCGGCATATTGGTTATAACATGGTTTTGGATAGCAATGGAGACAGACTGGCCCCACCTCTCAATGCCATGAACATTGAAAATATTTAAGGCCATACTTATCCCAGTAATATCAATGACACCCCTTGATTCATAGATCTGAACTAGATCTTCTAGTTAGAGTATAGATTTTATTTCTATCTAATCTACAATTTAATGTAAGCAGATAAGATTAGATATTTAGTAGTTTTTGAATTTTACTTACAATTTAAATCATCCACTGTAAGCTTTCAATTAAAATCTTATTAGTTACAGAGGGTGTTTGGATTGGTTCATTTTTATGGTAAAGAAATGCTTAAAAAAATGATAACCCTTAGAAGGGCTGAAAGCTCTATAGTTTGTTGCTCCAAAAAAACTTCCTAAAGACCAAAAAATGTTTTTAGAGCTTTAAGCAAAAGAAGCTCAATTGATCATTCTTTTAATCAAAATACCCTTAAAACAAAAGATTATATGCCTGTATCTATCAAAACTAATTGTCTTTTTTTCTTATCATCTTCCTAAAGTTTCAGCCTAACACCCTAATTATACCAAACATTAAATAGCTTCTTTGAGTTCAAAAATAAACAAAAAGAGTTTGATGTCTGAACATTTTGTCTACTTAAAATACAATGGAGCTAAAAACCTTATAGCCTAAGCACCAAAAATACCAAGTCAATCCAGTTTATTCTTCAGCAATATAAATACCTCTAGTATTTTATTTTTGAGATCAAGCCATGCATTGATATATATAAAATATGAGTTTGCACTGTCTTAGGGTCTATACTTGATGATACTCTTTATATTTGTTATTTCAAATATATATATATATATATATGTATATATATAAACAGGCCATGGGTGACGCAACTGAATCTTAAATACGATGCTTAAGAAACCCTCACCTCAAATCTAATGCTTTAGAAATTCTAGGTATGATTCCCTGTTTTCTTTTTATATTCTAATAATGAGATGTAATATTTAAGATACCTAAATTATCCTTAATCCCTAAATAGAAAAATTAACTAGATTTTTCCTACATCAACTAGTATTAGAGTTAAAATTTCCTACAGCTAAATCTCAAAACATTACATCTAAACAAATCTAATTGTCCAGACAACATCAATTAGATATCTAAACTTAATTTGCACTTAAAGCACTATGATCTTAAAATTCAATGGAGCAAAAAACCTTATAGCTTTACAGCACCAGAACGACTAAGTCAATCCAAAGAGGTCATAAGTAGATTACTAGTTTATATTTCAGCAATATAACCACCTTTATTATTTTCCTTTTTGAGATCAAGCCATGAGTTAATATATTACAAACAAGCCATGTGTGATGCAATCAAATCTTAGTGATGTAGGACAAATAGGCTTTAGAGTTAGGTATGCATTAGATTTTTTATGGGTTTTCTCAAATGCTTTAGTTGTATCAGCCAACCAAATCTTAAATATGATGCTTAAGAGATATTAAGTACCACTATAGTTAATTCCTTTGGTTTCACTCCCAGTTCTTAAGGCGCGATATCTAGAATACCTAGAGTTATCCTGAATTCCTAATTAAGCAAATTAACCATGACTTGTCTCATTGTTCTCATCACATAATAAATGGTAGTCATTACCGATCGGCTCTTCAATTACAGGCACATATAAAGTGCTTGTAGAACATGGTTTTGGGTAGAGTCTCTCTCCATGTCATGCACATTGAAATGTTTAAGGCCATATTCATCCAAATATATCGAGTATATCTCATAGAAGAAAAAAAAGGACCAAACACAATAAAATTTAAGCTTCATCTTAGTTACAGTAGATTAGTTACCAGTTCCTAGTAGATTAACACAAGCTATGTAGAACATGCCCTTTAGAGCCATGTGATTCCCATCACAAAAACTTTTGGACCTGGGAAAAGGTCTGTGGAACTAACCATTTCCCAATACTTCTCAGAATGCTGTGATTCATTTCATGATGGATACTATGCAAACATGATAAGTTTAGCATGTTACATACCTCATCATTGTCGACTCCAACTAAGAAAAAAAGAGACGCGTAACGCCTGTACACAATTTTGTAGTTACGATGCTCGACAAATGAACACTGTTATCACAATAAAGACAACATAAGTTGCATAAAAGCGTGCCATAAATAACTGACAAACATTCATAAGCATAAAAAATAAAAATGAAACAAAATGTTATAAGACAATGAAAAACAAATTAGAAGGTAACTTAACCAAGAAACAGATTTTGAGAGCAAAACATTTAACCACACAAGAACATAACAGCAACCAACAAGCTCTTTGGCGTATTATGGAACTTATGGATTTCCAAAATTTAATTCTATAAGGGAAAAAAAGTTAGTACATTTGAAGGGGAAACCAAAACGCTAATCAAGCAGATCTCTGAGAATATGCAAATTAAGTTTCTAAAAAAGGAGCCTATAGCACAATGTTGTGCCATTGAAGCTAAAACTGGAGTAGGTAATGATAAAGAAATACAGTGATGTTTTTGAAACACCTATAAAGTTACCCCTAGATAGATTTAGAAATCATAAAGTTAAATTGACTGTTGAAACAAAAACAGCCAGTCATGTTATGAGTGAAGGAGGAAAAAGATGTTACTGAACAGATAACAACTAAATTGCTGTAATCAGGGTCATCAAGCACAAGGCAAGCCCATTTTCCTTCCTAGTGGTGCTAGTAAAGAAACATAACGGGACATGGTGCACGTGTATTGACTAATGAGAGCTCAACAAACTCATTTTGAGTGACAAGTTCCCAGTGCCAATTATTGAAGAGTGAGTAGATGAGTTGGGAATGCCAAAGTTACTCCCAGTTAGACTTAAGATTTGGGTACCCGCATAAAAAAGTCCACATGACTGATATATTTTGACCGTTATTAAATGTGGTTTAGTACTCTTGGGTGATCAATCGGCATACAGCAAGGATATTCAACAGCACAAAGGGTGCTTAAGAGAAATTCCTACAGATATGGGTGTTCATTATCTGTTCCGGACTGAAAAAAACTGTACTGGACTGGTGTATTCAGTCCAGAATGTACTAGAAACAATCCAGTCCTGGGTCCAAGATATTCTGAACTGAGGAATCTGGTCCATATCAGTTTCACCGTGTGCTGCCTATCACCTCTGCCTCCTTTTACCCAGCAGCCTCTCACCTCTGCTTCCTTTTATCCAGCAGCCACGCGCTCTGCTTCTTTTCGTCCATCAGCTCTCCCATCTCTGCTTCCCTTCAAGCATGTACAGCCAATCCCCTCTCACGTCTGCTTCCCTCACATTTCTATTTTTTTCCCCTTTTATTTTTGTTTTAATGATGATTTTAATATGTGATATATGGAGTTTACTGATGATTTTTGGTAAATAAAAATAGAAATGTGAAATGGGTTGAATGTATATGAAATTTGTTAATTTTCAACAAAAAAAAATTCATGCACACAACATGTTTGATAAAATGCCTAACAAAAGAAGCAGACGTATTTGGAAAACGTTTGGACCGAATTTCAGGTCCAGACTGAAACATCCCGAATTGGAAACAGTCCGGTCTTTAATCCAAACTTTTTCCCAAATGGGTTTTCGTTCTGGCCCAGAGCGCTCCAATTTGGTCCACTTCTTGATCGATTAACACCTCTACCTATAGATCCTAAGAACGGATGTCCTCTATGCTAAGGGATCAAAATGCAGATTTGGGAGAGTATAGGTGGAGTATTTGGTTCATGAAATATGAACAAAAAGGGTTTACACAGGTCCAACAAAAAAGAAAGCTGTTACTCACTGACCACAAACAACCATAAAAAACTGGGGATTTTTAGACTTTAATGGCCACTGGAGTAGATTTATCAAGGATCATGATCAAATTGCCAAACCTAAGGAACAAATTAAGTGCACTAAACAAGCATAAGAAGCCTTAACTCAATTAAAGGAGACTCTTTATGCAGCTCCTGCATTAGTACTGCCAGATTCTCAAGAAACTTTTGCAATTAAGACAGATGCGAGCAAAGAAGTGAGGGTTGTTCTCATGCAGAAAGGAAATCCACTTTTTCCTATATGCAAAGTGCTAAATAAGAAATCAATTGCTCTCGAATTATGAAAAGAAACTAATGCCTATTGTTTTCACAGTAACATAGTAGGAGTAATATCTGGTGGGGAGGAAATCTACTATAAATACAGATCATGAAAGCCTAAAGCATCTGTTGGAACAAAGGATGGCAAGCTTCAGCCAACTGCAGCTATTGAGCAAATTCATTAGTTTACAAAAAAAAAAAAATCCATTACAAGAATTTGCATGCAAATGCCTTCTCTGGAGTCCATCCAAATCGAATATTGAGCATGGGAGAAACCAAACAGAGATCGCAAGATGATGAAAATTTGCAAGCAATAAGGACCTCAAACAATGCAAAAATCCAACATCTACAATTACATGGGAGGATGGATTCTGAGAAGGAAAGGGATGATAATATTGGGCCGGAATCCTAACATTAGAAGGAAATTGATTAGTTTTTTTTTTTTTTTGAAATAAAGAAGGAAATTGATTAGTGAATTTCATGATAGCCCTGGGAGATCATTCAAGTATCCAACCCACATAAAAAAGATTAGACTCCATCTTCTATTGGAAAGGGATGGAAAGAGACATTCAAAGCTATCTTTGTACTTGTAAAATATGATCAGCCAGGAACTTGGCAGCAGTGGCTGAGACTTGCCAGATATTGGTTCAAAACCTGCTACCACTCAGCTAGAAACCAATTGAGACGTTACATGCGTACAGTCAAACAATCAAATCCCCTATTTCCTAGAGACTCAAAGATTGCAGCTGAAGATAGTTACTCTCTAGATGATTTTCAGCTGGCCAACTAGTTAATTAACCTAAAGACAACAATTAGAGGATCTTTGGTTAAACCAGAAGTTGATTCTTGTTCGTTTTGGACCTTACAAGGGTCTAAAAAAGATTGGACCTTCTACTTACAAGCCCTCTCACAGGGGAGATCAATGGTCCTCAACCTGAAAAGCTCGTAGACAGAGAGCTTGTCAAATGTCTGAATAATCCAGTGCTAAATCAAGCAGAAGAATACACCCGTTACTGACAGCACCTGGAAATCTTAAGACGACTTGCTCCCCAGGTTTCGAACATTCTCTTTTGAGGACAATAGGGATTGGAGAAGAGAGGGGAAAGGGGGGTGAGGTTAAGTGAGGAAGTTGTAACTAATCTGTTAACAACAAATAAAAAATCCTACCTTTACAGATCTGAGCAAACTGATGCAACCAATTCCCAAACCTTGTACACAAGCTAGGAAATAGATGTAAAAGTCATTTGAAGATTAAATAAGACTTCACCTCTTACTTTGATCCTATGCGTTCTCTCTGTCTGTGCTCTCTCTGTCTTTTTCTTTCTGAACAACTCCAGTATCAAGTGTTAACGTATGTAATCACATATTGACCAACAATCTATACTAATTTATATACATATCGGGCAATTCTCACTATCATTCTATGATTTTCGATAAGAATCTAACATGATATTCGATTCTCTCATAGCTTGATCATGCCCAATAATTTGTTAGTAGTCAGACTGTATCTATATCTGCGTCCTGCCGACTCACTTCTCTCGATGCGTGGAAGGTTTTTAAGAGGTGTAAACCCACACAATCAGACTAATTTATACACATGTTGAACAACTCTTGCTAATAGTGTAAGAATCTAATACTAAGAAACAATTAATTCCATCAACGATTCACTTAGAACAAAATCATTTCCAATTTCATCTATTTCACGAAATATGAAACGAATCCATTGTCGTCAGATCAAACAGATAACCAAAACAAAAAAAAAAATGGGCAGCAACTGAATGAAGACAAGGTTGTTTTTTGATCCTAAGGTACAGATGAATATGATCTGGGGAATCAAGTAGAGAATTTGGAGAACAAGAGAGAGAACCTGTTGCTCGGTGCGAGCAAGGCATTTGCGGACGATTTCACCCTCAAGAGCGCGGCGTTCCTCGAGAGTGAGCCACTCGTAGTATTGGGCGAGACGAGTCTGCCCTTGCTTGTTCACCATCAATATGAATCTTATCCCCATTTTAGTCCCTGTGATATTCACACCTCCGCTTTTTGTCTCTACCTTCTGACTAATTTATCACCGGCATAAAAGAAACCAACCGGTTTGATCTGTTTTGGAGAGGAAATACGTCTGTTGACCCCTTCGGTGTTTTTTTTATTATTATTTTTTTTTTAATATTAAAAAGGCAAAGAAGATTTTTAACGGTAGCAATGTAAATAAAAATTTATTATATCTAGATTTACTTAAATTGTTAGTTCATATTAGATATCTAAGAAGCAATCTGTTATTTTAATTTAAATGCTTACTTTAGAAGTACATTAAATAAATAATTGAAAAAATTTATATTTTATTTAGTAACAGTTGGTACTGCCGTTTCAACAAGTAAATCTAGTATTCATCTATTTTGATCCAACATAAAATTTTTATATATGTTATATTATTATTAAAATAATACTATGATTATCAACTAATTATGAATCAATATAGTAAAATATTAAAAGACAAAAGAATTAAGGTTGAGAAACAAAAATTAGAGTTAGATCATAATAATTTGCAAAAATGTGAGAGATGAAAAATTGGTGGTTGGTGCCAAATATCATTTTCTATATCGAGTATACGGTGACATGATTTTTTTTATTATATTAGATAAAAAAATTTATAAATCTATTAATAGATTAAAATAATACTTTAAATAGATTTATAATTCTATCTTTCAGCTCTTAAAATACTTTTATGGGTAACCATTAATTTTTTTTTTATCTCATCTATGAGATAGAAGTATTATTTGATCTCATGGTCTTTCTCCTGATAGAATGGAAAAGACTTTCGTGAATTTTTCTTAAATGAAGTCGTCTCTTATTAATTATTTTTGTGTTTATATTTTTTCTATCTTTATAATGTTGCAGAATATGTTTTTTATAAAAAAAAAAAAAGTAAGATTATAAGTTTTAATATTTGTAAGTGAGATAAATATCTCTCTAGTATACTAGCATTGATTATTGTGCAATTTTGCTTAATGCAAGTTGAGACTGTACCTCCTCTCCTTAGGGTTACTTCCAGTTTACTATAAGCATTAAGTAATTTTATCTTTCTCTATATATGTGTCTCTACTGATTTAAAGTTTTTGGTATATATTTTATACCTTGAGTTTGTCATATTTAATTAAATTAAATAGAATTGTAGTAAAAACAATATGAAAAATCGTTACTATCTTTATTTAATTTTTGATGTGATTTTAGATTTTTGTGTTTAAGCTCCCAAATAGTGGAGTGTAGTTGTTTACAAACTTTTACATTATCTCAAAATTTTAAATAAATTTAACCTAAAAATAGGCTAAACTAATCAAAATCTAATATTTGAAATGGTAGACTTCATCTGAATGAGAAGTTCTCAGTAATTATACTAAAAACATAAATAGACTTGAAAAGTTAGTAAAAGATATTAGTATCATCGGCTTATCCAACTTACAAAATGATGTGGAGATCACTAACTTACAAAATTGAATTATGGCTCGTTTGGTTTGTTAGGAAGCTAACAATACTTCAGCATGTTGGTTAGCTAAGCTTTGTCACGACCATGATGAGAGGGCCTTTATGTCCCACGGCACCTTTCTGATGAGTTTGCTTTCTTTAGAAAATCCGGTAATTCTTGATGATTATTTGTCTCTTTGTGCTTTCATTTTTTTTTTCCTTTTTGTCTCCTAAGAAACTAAAAATTAAGACATCAAAGAAAACAAAAGGATCACCACAACATTTGATTTAGTTTAGGTTTGTAAAGGGAATGGAGTAGCAAGTAAATAAATTGCTAAAAGAAGTATCATTTACCAAGTTAGACACTTCAAATTAACATTACAAATTTTTAATTTTTTTTTTTCTCTTCTTTTTCTTCCAATTTGAAAATTTTAAAATGTTTTAACTTTGGAAAAGAAAGTAAAAAATACTCTGTTAATCTAAACATAATATTAGAAATAACACAAGCTGAGATGACATGAACAGGAAAAGAGATGGTGGTCATGTGTGAAAATATTTGGAATGATTAACAGAGAAAGGCTTGCACATGGGAAAGTCTTTGTTGCAAAAGGAAATACATAAAACTAACAAAATAAAGTTGCATATGTAGAGAAAGAATACCTAGAGTGTACATAGACCTTAAAACACCAATGAACAATTCAATATGAGAGTAGATATTACCTATAGACGAGACACACATCTCAATCTATTTTTTTCATTTCCCTAAATTAGAAAAAAAAAAAATAGAAATGAAAACAAATTTTCTATTTTCCACTCAATTATTTAATTTATTATCTCATCAATAAAATACATATAGTTAACAATGTCATCGTCAAACTTGATTTGTGTCAATTTCCAAGTCTGAGACTGAGGAAATAGAGAAACCACAAAAACTACTGAATACAAAGCATCCCCAAAAGGAGAAGTTTACCCAAATACCATTTATTAATTCGTTTCTGAACAAGGATCCCAAACTACTAATTTGTCTTTCCATCTGAAATTTGTTGTCACAGCCACAAACTCTCTTAACCAATATAAGTTACATGATCGAAGCACACTAATCTCTTTAACATGAGCATCGATAAGACTAAGCGCAGCTATGTACCACCAAATAACACATATAACAATAGAATCTATCTTGGCAGGGGACAGGATATTTTTGAGAGAGCTTACTGATCCTCACTCGCAGCTAAACAATGACAGAACCGATAAATTGATCTTCTTGGTATCGTTGTAATTCATGTAGTAATCTCTTTGTTCACCAATTCAGCTTGAATAGAAGAGGCATTATCCAGCAATTGACTCATTGGTTCTTCCTCTTTCTTGTCTTCAATAACATCCTTGGGAGTTAAAAAGCTTGGCTGATTTGTCGAAGACAGAAGCCTTGCCCACATTCTGTCGGTAATCACAACCTTATTCTGTTTCTCAGTTATTCTCTGCAAAGCAACCGTCCAGAAATTAATGTCTAATACTCGCTGACTTCTTAGAGCTTCTCAAAGGTATAAAGAGCGGAACAAAGAACAATACAGCAGTTTGAAATTCATGAAATTAAGAAGCCAGTGACCAAAAACTTATCAGATAACCTTGGCACAGATTAGAAAACCTGTTCCAGACCATACTGGCACATACTCTATAATGTCTGAGCAAGAACGTTAAAATTTAATTGGATGTCCAGGATAACAAAACCAATTCTCTTTGAGCATTAAAGAACTAAAGTCCTCATGTTATGCATTGAATTAACTCACATAAAATGGAATATATGTTTGCCTTCCATTCACAAGACCACTTGTATAGCCTGTATAGCCTGCCATTGCTCCATGCACAGCACTTTGAGCAAGAAGTGTGCAGTACACATTGTCAGATGCATTGCTAGGAACAGCACGAATCATGTATGTAGGATCTGCCACAAAAAAGGTACATTGCTTAATCATATCATTCAATTGGTAGCTTCCTTCTAAATATACAAGTGAATTTTTTACCAACCTATGTATTTGAGGTTTATGGCCATCTTCTTTTGCTTTGAAAAATGATCCTGCAGAAGTTAGATAGATTAACTGTTGTTATTTCATATCAAAATAAAATGAAAATGCAATAAAAATGAAATAAAATTTAAACGAAAATAACATTATATTTCGCATCATTCCAAGTCATATTCAAATAAGGCATTTTTATGACTCATTCCTTTGACAAATGAGAATATAGATAAATTATTCTAGACTTGAAAATATGAGCAGAGTTAGTTCAACTATACATTGCATATGTAAATTATAACCAAATCCCAATATCATATAATTAAAGTTTTAGAATGAGAAGAAATTAGATATAAACCGAACATGCTGTAAATGTCTGGGAGAAGGGAAAATTATTTCAGGTTTTATACCTAATTGAAAGACAAAAATATGAAATTGTAGTGTATTTTAAATTCTACCCAAATTGATGAATTTGAAAAATGAATTATGATAGTTCAAAAGAGAAGCCGTTACGTTCATTTAGTTTTTGTAGTATCCAAAATAAAAAAACAATTTCATAAAACTAAAGATTATTTTTTGGACATACTCTAAAAGGACCATTAAGAATCTATATCATACAACCCACGCTATTTTACTGATACGGTAAGAGAAGATTCTACTTTAGCAAAAGAAAAAAGATTTTTTCTTTAGTTTCAAAGGAGAAAAAATCCAATAAGAGAAAATGAGAAAAGAAATACCTTGATTTTCTGTGATATCCACAACCCAAAATCTTGGAGAAGTTTGTTTCCAGAAGCATCCTTAAGGGTATTTGACTGCATGCTCTCAGACACCAATTCCTGTCCTGCACCTTCAGCAATCACAATAACCATGTGTCCGTTTTCCTTCAGTCGTTTCTCAATGAATTCAAAAAGTCCACCATCGCCTTCGAGATAGAAGGGTGACTCTGGAATCAAGCAACAATCAACATCTCGGCTTGCAAGAGTGGCGTACATTGCAATGAAACCTGCAACACCAATCCAGGTTAGCATCCTACATCACTAACCTTGTTTCACCATAACAGAAAGAGCTGCCACGATGAACTGCAAGATTCTCATCTACCAGCACACAGAAATTTAAAAGTGAAGATCATAATTTCTGAGTGTTTGCATCTCTACAACCAGCAACCTATCAAAATCTTATATCAAACAAATATTGCCATTCATTATTTAAATCAACAGACAACCTTTAAATACCAGCAATGATGTCTGTAATCAAGCAAAGATTCTGAATTGAATGCTCTAATATATCAGAGAACTCTGCTTTCTTCATTTCAGAAGATGAACAGCACCTTAAATGGGTTTCAGCCTCTCTCATACAGCTGGACATTTTTCTAAAATTTACAAAAGGTTTGATAAACCTACATATTATTAGTAGGAAGCAACTAGCGCTAACCAAATGCCAATATCAAATGATATGGTGATAAGATAAATTGCTTACATGATAGTGCAGAAATAACATAACCACCAAACAACCAACGAATTAAACGATGGTCTACAGTCCTCAAGCTTTGACATAAGCAATAATTAAGACACATTTAAAAGCTGAAAATATGTGTGGGAGGAGTGAGGAAAGACACAAGTGCAAGTGATAAGATGAATTTGCTTTAGACACCTCATTGTTAACAGCAAGACCATGAATAAACATAAAAACACATTTAAGGATGAAACTTTATTCCAGGTTCTCGCTTTTGCTATTGAAAGATGATAACTGTTGTGAAAGCAGGTGCTTACCACTATAGCGACCCATTAACTTCACAACACCTAAGCCATTCTCAATACTTTCAGCTTCAACATGTGCTGCATTAATAGCACGTTGAGCCTCCTCAACAGCAGTGTCAAAGCCAAAGGATTTGTCAATAACCTAGACACAAGGAAAAAAAAAACAAAAAGAAAAGCTAAGAATGCATAATGGAGTTGTCAGATAAAAGAATTAATTGATAGCGAACGCAATGCATAATGTTTAACTCGAACAAAGATCCAAAACTAAAGAAGGAAAAAGGTTTACCGGAATGTCATTATCAATAGTTTTGGGAATTCCAGCAACAGCAACTTTGAGACCACGTCTTCTAACTTCCTGCATAGTTGAAAATTTAAATTAGATTTAATATAATTAATTTATCCTTTTATTGGAGGACTTTGGGTCAAGAGGAGAGAACACATCTCAACAAAAAGAGATACAAACAGGCACATGGAATTGATCCTCACTGACATCATACAGAATAAATTTACCTCAAAAATAACAGATGCCCCACGTTGAGTTCCATCTCCACCGATAATGAAGACCTGAGTTACCCAAAAAACTTATCATCATGTCTAATTCACAATTTATACTTCCAAAATATTTAGTGAATTGAATGTATCCTCAACAAACCAGATTAATTCCTCGATCCTGAATGCTGTCCACTATCTTTGAGGTATCATGGCCCCCTCTTGACGTCCCAAGGATGGTTCCACCACGCTTATGAACATCATTTACAACCTTAGGATCCAAGGGGATTGTATTTCTAGCATAAAAGCCCCTGTATCCTCCCTGCAAATCCATTAATTATACATAAAAATCATAAACTGAAAGGTTCAAAAAACTTTAGAACTTGCAGCTGACACAACACAGGTGCATTTTTATGTCCTGCACACCAGGAGAAGCCATACATATTGAAGCATGCAAAGGACAGGGAAAAAAACATTATAGAAGTTGTAGTAGAGATTAAATAAGTCAACTGGTAAAAAAATCATGTCCTGTGATGTTCGAAGGAAAAAAAAAATGATATGCTGGTGATGTAGAACAAATTAGTGTTAATTTGGCTGCTAAGAAATTGAGGAAAAAACCTAAATATCACACCTAGAATTCTTAGGCATCACAACTAAGAGTTGATTAAGTCACACAATCAATTATGAGAAATTCTCAAAAAATTATTATTTAATACTTGAATGATTAATAAGTAAAATTACAAATCTATTTATAATAATTTTTTTAAGTAAAATTAAACAAAAAAATAGTAAATTAATAAAATTAAAAATATTAATTTTAATATAAATAGAAAAATATTAGTAAGAAAAAAATTCTTAATTTACTAAAACTATAATAACGCTCCTCAATAATATAAATTTTTAAATAATATAGTAATTTTACATTGAATATAATTATAATTTCTAAACTACTTAGGAAATCTATTGCTAGGCACTATGCATCACTTGGCATCTATTCATAAGTTGGGGATAAACATCTAATCATGTCAAGATAAATTATTGAAAAATAACGGGTTTATGTTATTTCAGTAAGATAATTGTCCAATTTGAAAACAGGAACTTACATCTATCCCCAGGATTTTCCTCACACCATACACGTGATGCAAAGTACACACTATTTCTCTAATCACAGTGTTGAGTCCAGGGCAGAGACCGCCACATGTAACAATACAAGCATGAACCTCGTCTGACTCAAAATACACCTGCAGAGAGCAAAACATCAGCATGACTCAATAAAAACAGGTACATACAATGCCTAGCTACATCTTACCTTCTCAAATATCATGTATAGACACACAGCAGCCATACCTTTTGACGGGGTCCAGCACGTCGGAAATGTGTCCCTCTTGGACCATCTTTGTGAACAACAACCTATAATGAACAGGACAAAATTAAGTACCCAAGACGCACACAGTAACAATCTTCATCACAAAAAGTCAGCATACAGAACCCGCAGCTTTCTTGAAACTAAGGTTGAACTCATTCAACTAATGCACCCAATAAAATCAATTTACTATCGATATAGAAATTCTGCTATCCTATCATGCAGTTGCAGGCACCTTTTCATAAAGTGCAAGGAGTTATCATATGATTCCTACCTCTGCACAAACAACCCCCAAAAGGCAAATTAAAAAATCTTGAATAACAAGGCAACAAGAATTGGGGTGATGAAGTCACATGGAAAGGCTGAGAGGCTAACCTTTCTTGGAACAGTGTCATCTATATCCACAAAGTACTGCCTGGCAAAACAGAAAGTTTCAGTAAAATAACCAGAAAGAATGCACAAAAAGCTATTAGAAAGACTAACTAGTGCATGGGTCTCAATCCAGAATAATTTCAGAAAGAAAAAACACTTGTTTTGGGTGAATGAAGCCAAAGCACTCACTTAACAACCGAGTAGGCAGGATTATCTTGGAGTGGATTGGGATAGGTCTGCAACACCAGACACAAGAAATGAGGAATTAAATAACTTCCAAACCAAACTTCAATTAAATAAAGAAAAATAACAGACATTTACTAACAACCCACCCATTTCCCTTCTTAGGTAAGCACCAACCAATAATTAGAGAAAGAAGCGGCGTCCTTTACCTTAAACAATTCGTAACATTATCTCCATTAAACAGAGAACGCATAATAGGTATAATCAAGGGACAAGCCAGCATTAAAAATTAATTAATTAATTTGGCCTCTACTTAACTCAGTGAGCGAATACCTTAATAATACGATTCCACAATAAAATTCGAATGAATGGGCATAAGCTTAAAGGTAAATGAGTGGGGAATTTAGAATCCAATGGATTATCCAAAAGCAGAGCTCGTAACCCGAAGTTAGTAAAGTTAAATCGGCTGATGAGAGAAATCTGGAAATTTTTTTTTTTTTTTTTACCATTGGGAAAATAGCTCCATTATTTAATCGAAATAGAAAATTTATTCTGATTGGTCGTCAGATAAAGAACAAATAAAAAGGCTGTAATGCGCTTGTCGTTGGTGAAAATAATGCTTGAGAAAGGTCGGTTGAACTTATTATCAAATTAAATATTAAAAAATCGGTTGAGTATTCTGTTCTCCCATCTTCTATAATCGAGAAACAACTAAAGAGACGGAAGATCATTTTCGTTTCCTTTTCTCTCCATTTTCAGAGGAACCAAACGGAGAAACAATTATGAAATACAGGATCGATCGACGAAAAACTTAAGCATAAAGATATATATATGTGTGTGTGTGTGTGTGTGTGTGTGTGAGTGTAGGTATATAAATGTGTAGATAGAAGAAAAGACTAACGTACAGGAAGGTCAGGAATGTAATCCGTGAGATGAGGAACATCTTCCAGGACGTAACCAGCAGGTCCAGTCACGATCTTAGGCTTGGAGCTGCCTAAGGAGCCCATACTAACGGCTCTTCGAACTCCGATTTTCTTATGAGAAGGTGAATCGGAAAAGAGAATCGCCGACGAGTATCTCTTGAGGCCAAGAGCCGGGATCCTGTAACTGGACTGGTCGAAAAACCGCGATTTTAGAGGAGAGACCCGTGGCGGAGCATAAATGGAATCCATCCAGTGGCAGAGAGAGATGTGGTTGGAGCGCAAGAAGAATGGAAATCCATATTTATAGGACACAACAGTGTTGACTAAGAACGAGATATCAGAAGACAGAGAAGCACGCAAAGGCCTTGTAAATTTTCCAAACCCCCAAAAACACGGAAAAAAAAAACACAGATAAGGCAAAAAAATACAGAAAGTGTGTTTGCTATTTAACGAGCTTGCGAGTTGTATAAAAATGGATGAAAGGGGTGAGGGGAAGAAGAGATGATTGAAGATAGTAAAAGGCAGAGCCAATTTGGACAAACTGTTGGGAAAGCAAAACAGCGAAAGGAAATTTATAGACCCAAAACAGGAAGATCCATCGAGTTTATTATTATTATTATTATTTTCTTTTTTTTGGTCTGAGTCGTCGTTTTGACTAATCGTACATTAGGCGAATGAAAGGAAGATTAGCCCGGTCGGGTAATCGGGTTTGCAACGACAATCGGTTTTGGACGCCGACTACTCATCGCCTCTTGTTTTGGACCAAGAATGTGTATTTTACTTTTTGCTTTTTCCAAACATTATAAACCATGGATCATATTATGTTCATGGCGATCCTTTTTTTTTTTTTTTTTTTTTGAAAAAAAAAATGTTATATCAAATTTTTATTTTATTATAATTATTGTAATAACAAAAATTGTTCTTCACAAAATGATCTTTTTACTTTGATACATCATAATCCGTTGCAATTTATATTAATTAATCTTTTTTTTTTGAAATAGTTACATAATTTATATTAATTCAAAGAGAGTATTTATGCTAGACTTTAAAAAAAAAAAAAACTACAATCATGAAAAACATGCTCAATAGATTCAAATGTCTTCCCACAATAAGACAAATTGGAGCAAATTTGGGATTGCCTAATTGATTCAAAGGTTTTCCTTTAAATAAAATAAACAAAATTAACATTTAGGATTCATAATATGGTATGAGCTTTAATAGAGATTATGCTATTATATATGTGTCAAAATATAAAATGATTAATTTTTATAAGGTACTAAAAAGTCACAATTGTTGAATAATAGAAATATTATATCTGAAACTGGTAAAAGCACCTGATATATCTAAATTATAATTTCATTCTAAAATTTATAAGATAAATATATATTCAACTAAAAATAAATATATTTTGGATAACTTTATTAAATTATTGAAAGTTGTAAAACTTAGTATATATTAATTTATGAGGAATAACGGTGGAAGACATCATGTATGATTGAGGATGATAAAGACTATCATGTCAATCCTTAAATGTAAACTTGACATTGAAGGCTTGTTTAACAGAGGATTTTAGTGTATACAGAGGTTTTCATTACTTGAGATATAAGGTAATGATAAATTTTGTTTAAAAGCATAATAACGGTTGATGATAAATTTTTAATTAAAAAAAATTTCAATAAAAAATATATGTAAAATATTAAAGAGCTAAGGACGAGCATAAAAATAAATTTCAGAAGAAAAATAATAAAACCAAATTTGTATTAGCATAGGGTATGTTTTTATAAACTCCTAAGTAGAATTCACTAAGTAATTAATTAACCATATAACTTATAAAAAATGACTAAATTTGTGCATGGATAAGTTATACTAAGAAATTTAGGACTAATTTTTTGATAGATTACGTTTAAATTATGCAGTTGATAACAAGAACATCACGACTGCAAGTTCATAAA